CTGTTTGGTGCTTTCTCCTCTTCCTTCCTCCACCTCAGCCAGTGAATGAAGAGGTAGATGAGACCCCCCACCACCTCCTCCTCCTCCTGACAGGACCCTGTTCTGTACTATGCTCTGCAGCACAGGAGAAGAAGACAGCACTGAAGAGAAAGACGAGTCACTCAACCATCAACACCTCCACGTCTTTATGTCCTCTTGCAAATGGAATGTCCATAATTTCGCAAAGGTGAGGAGAAAAAAAAAAGAAGGTTGGTTTACACAATTCCTCCACATCTTCCTCTCTGTGAAGTTACTTCCCCTTGATTGTAGCATGTAAGGTAATCCAGAGTACTTCAGCTTTCTGAGAAGAACTTCACGCGCTAACAATGCCAGTCAAGAGGGGGAAACGACACACACACCAGTCAGGAAGCCCTAGCTGGTGCATGGAAAGAAAAACAGTGCTTCCTGCCAAAAAAAAAAAAAAAAACCCAGAAGACAATTAGGCTGCTATTCACAGGACATACTGGGATTCAGACTGACAGTATTAATGATTGCCAATCAAACCCAACTGATAAGGTTTGGAGGCGAAATTAAAATTTACAGTCAATTAAAGAATCCATTAGAGAACAATCGGGCCTTGAAAACACACACACACACACACACACACGGTTACCAATACGTGGTGTCAGACTTTATGTTTAACCACCTTAAACCACCTTTTCTTGCTAGTCAAATTTTACGCATTTCTATACAAACAGTCTAAAAGTAGCTCATTGTTAGCTTCCTCTCTCCACCTCATTGTTTTTCCTGCAGCCATCCGTGAGAAATATCTCCCTGTCTTCCCAGAATCATGATAATAGCGTGCGTGCGTACGTGTCTGTGTGTGTGTGTGTGTGTGTTTGTGTGTTTGTGTGTGTGTGTGTGTGTGTATTCATGAGTCAAAATGAAGTGGTTAAAGAGCAAAAGCATAATAATCTGCTTTCATGTGGGAGGAACTCTTGCTTTTATACAGACATTTTGACAACATGAGAAACACAGTGATTATTTTCCTAATTGATATGGGAGCAGCTGCACAGTATCGTGCCAGTGGAAGGCTGCTTTGCAGTGGAGGAGTACTTGACTCTGCGTGCGTCCTCATCACACACTGAGCACGAAGGTCCAGCTTCAGGTCGGTGGGTGAAACATTTCTGAGTGTTTACCTCCACCTGCTGGCACATCTGAAAACTTCAACCCGGGTTCTGAATATTATATTGGTGTTTTTGTGTGGTGTGAGCATGTGTGCGCAACTACTGAGCAATATTACAGAAGCAAACACATGGCTTAGCCATTTCCGGCCTGAGTGCAGCCCACACCCACTTCAACTGAGCAAAAACAATAACTTCCTCCACACCTTCATGCACAGCCACGTCCAGTCTGAGACATCTCTGCTAGACACTGAGTAAACTCAGGGGAAAGATAAGGAAAATCTTATAATCCTGCATTCCTTAGAAATGATGTGTTATTTTTATGGCCCCTTAGATTTATGCACCTTAAGTTTTGCACTTTAAGACAAAACAGTGCTTTGATAACTATTCAACTGCCATATATGACAACAATATACACCATAGTCACTAATGTTATGCACTTTGCAGTACCAAAATGTAATCTGACTTTTGAACAGAACAATCATGCAAAACACAATAGCTGATAAAGTGATAAAATACAAGTGAAGAAGATCAATACACTGGGAACTTCACTTGTGGCATATTAATAGTCTCCATCAGGACAAGATTCCCTAATGAGATAGATTTCCATTCCTCTGTAAAGCACTTTGAATTGCTTTATGTCTGGATGTTGCTATATAAATAAATAAATGTGCCTTGCTTAATCACAGTCTCATGACCTGATCAATGTGCAGAGCACAAAGACCAAGCCGGATATTGAAGGAACACAAAACAACAGTATTTATGGAGTCGAATTAATGCCAGAAAATCTTTTAAAAAATTGAATTCCTGAGCCACAATTATAAAGACTGGTTAAAAACACATAAATCTGAATGCAAATCTATATTGAAATCTGCAAACAAGCTGCAAAGGCAAATTTGATGAATTACACCATACTATGATAAACATGTTAACATAATGAAAAATGCATAGTGAAAAAAACCAAACAAAACAAACCAAACAAACTTATTTCCACATCGAGCAGCGACTGAGCCACATTAGCATTTACAGTAGACATGGAGTAGAGTTTCCAGTCACCGCTGAATATAAGTCAGATATTCACTCTCCTTTTAACGCTGGTTTGGTTCCTACCAACCCTTCAGGAAAACATCTGGCTCTTAAGCTGCTAAGTGCTCCAATTTCTCCATCAGCTACTCGCTAACTTTGCTGCCTGCTATCGCTGGAACTGAGGTTAATGAGAGGGAATGAGAGTGGACCAAAAGTCTGGTTCATAAAACCAAAACAATGAGTTGAAAGATGCTAAAACGCACTGCACAGCTGAGGAGAACTGCAGAGGTGGGTAACAATTCATCACTAGGAGCGACACCACATAACTTTAATATTTTTTTCCCACTGTTAATATAAATATATTGATTAGTGTCTATCATCTATGTCTAATGATGTGTATTCTGAGAGGATGAGACTTTTTTGTTCATTGGTTATTTACAAGACTAGAAATTGATATAACCTCAACGCAGAGGGAAAAGAAAATTCTTTCCAATTGACCTTTTAAAGTTCAAATACCAAACACACATGAAACACTGCCTCTCCATACCAGGAGCTATGATTTATGGGTAGTTTACAGTGGTGTGGTTCAGCAATACTCAGAATATAAAAACAAATCATCTTCAAACCATCATGAACTGAGCTGCACAAGGGAAGCACTGTTGCCTGAAGTGAGTTAAAGCCAGTGGAGGAACAGTGAGAAGGTTCAGTTCAGACTGAATGGGTATCACTGTAGCAAAACAATAGCAGCAACAGTAGGCTATGACAGGCCACACAGTTTCTGATTCATACAGTCCCACTGCTTCTGTCTTAGCAGACAGAAAACAAACAGCTCTGTTGTTGGAGACTCATACAGCTGTCCTCACCATCTCAGACTGACATGCCCCCAAGCTAGTTGGACTTACAACACTAAGTAAATTTCATTCTACATGTGAGATATAATAAGATAAGATACTTGACCAGTGGGATGTGTTGTGTATAAAGCAATAGAGAAAGAGATCTTTTCCAGAGCAAAGCAAATTGTTTCAGCTTACTGCCGACCTGCCGTCACACACGAGAGACACAGATCCCAAAACACTATAGTGTTTATATGTGTGTAACCCAACTCTGTTACGCAACAGCTAACAGGATGACAGTGTAATATACAAATTTTATTTTCAAAGATGAACCCCTATGAAAGGACATCACACTGACGCACATGTGACCTTTAGTCCAGGAAGACGGGATCAAAACAGAAATAAATCATAATAAAGCACTAAATCATAATAAAGCCCTTTCTTTGGCATAAAATAATGGACTTCAAATGTCCAGTTTTATCCAGTGACCTAGAAGTATGAAGTCAAAATGACAGAGCATCATTATAAGTCTGATACGACTTCTCCTCTGAAAGCATATCCATGGTCCAAGAAAATGCAGGATCAGCCAGGCATAATAAAAACACTGGATCATTAGGAGTCATGATGAACCAAGTCAAATGGAAGGAATTACTGTTTAACTGTGTCAGGGGCGATGAAGTTATACTTATTCGTTTTATTTGGTGCTTTCACTTTCTGGAACTCAACCATGGGTCAAGTACAGGTTAGTTTTAACTTTACAGAAACAGCACTACATATGTTTACAATGGCTCAGTAATGAAACAGTGAGACTAGCACTGAGGCTGGGGAGCAGATTATGGGATGACAAGAGGAAATGTTCATCTATGAGAGAAAAACACAGATTTGCAATCCAGGCGGCAGCTATGGTGATGATGAAGCAATATGAATTTGACTGGAGTTTTGCTAACACACAATGACTCACTGACAGATAATATCTCATATATCTTGTCTTGTCTTTACCTCACTTCCTGACTCACAGCGTATCACCTGCAGACGTGTGACTGGGGCTGAGAGCTGACAGACACATTAGTGACTTGTGAGCTGAAGCCACCTTGCCCGATCTTAACAGTGGCACAGAGCAAAGTTCACATCAAACTGCAAGTACAGCACAGTGATCCTTAGCTGCATGTTTGCACAAGCGCTCCGCAGATTTGCAAGATAAGAGTAAGTCATGCGAGTTCCTCCTATCTTAGCGGTTCATGCCGAGACAGACAGTGTATGTATTCAGATCCTTGTTTTCTGAGAAATATAGACATACTGATCCAACTGAAGCCTGGGCAAACTTTCAGTTACAGCTGCCCAGGCTGCAGCTCTGCAAAGATCGATCTGGAAGCCTGCAAGGACACAGATCCCAAGACTGTGTCTGATCGCATTTAAAAACCAAGGCTGAAATACAAAATGCAAGAGTACATGTTAAGGGACTGATCTTTGATCGGAGATGAGAGATGCATTCTCAGCAGACTAAGTCCTTGGACTTCCTATGAAGAGGTGCTTTCCAGAATGAAGGAAAAAAAATGTGCCCTCCAGCATGTAGATGGTTACACAACAGGCTGGGACTTGCCTCTGATTCCTTCATACCTGCTGAGCAGCCAGTAACTCATCAGTGGTGTGTAAACAAGGATTATTATGAAGGTGTGTAGGTGTGTTACAGCCTGGTCATTCCATGCTTTCCCAACAAAACTGCCAATAACAAATGATGGCTAATACGAGACAGCCAACAAGACATAGCAGTGAGTCACCATGAAGCCAGGTAGAGCATTGACAGCCAGTAATAACTCCTCATGAACAGAAATGCAATATGTACCTAATAAGTGGGCATGATCAGTCCAGATAAAACGTAGAGTTATTTGTAATATTCATAATGAATATCTAGCAGTAGTTCTGGGCTAGTATGGTTCTGTTTATGAAAATGGTTTCCCAGCATTCCTTAAAAACTCACCTTCTTCCTCTGGCTCCACAGTTTCCAGACTTCGTGGTTTCCTGCGAAAAGCGACTCTATTAAATCCATCCATTCTACAAAAAGGCACTGACCGCTCCAGCATTGATATACTTTAGAAAGTCGCATTCAATAATGATCAAAAAGAACTCCAAAAGTTGAAGAAACGCAGTCCCCCTCCTTGCCACAATCTCAGCGCCGCGTCCAGCTGCTCCGCGGCAGCGCATATGCGCCTGCGACAAAAAAGAAAGAAAGAAAGAAAATCAGACTTGCCTGCGCAGGTGAATAAGTAACATTAAAGTAATCTAGACACATCGGAAACCGGTAAACAGCTGTAGGCTATACTTATGACAGCAGAGTCGGCTCCATCCACTTGCCCCCCTGCAAAGTCACCTTGTTGGGGGTGTTTCTCTTGCCACGCCCTTTCTCCCCCTCAATGAGTTCGAGTGGTGCAGACCTCCTTATTACTATGGCCAGTGTACTTACTGTTGGCCGCGGCGACAAGCACACACACACACACACACACACACACACAAACAAAACTATATGCCCACTGGGACTGGAAAAAAAGCTCATGTCTCATAATTATGTTAATTGTAGGCTATAACTAACCCTTATTACAAGATTTAGAAGATTTAGTAGTCAGTATTTTCTTCTTAAACCGAAAAGTAGTAGTAACTAAAATTGTCAAATAAATGTGGAAGAGTAAGGGTTTAATTAAAAAGGGTAATGCTATTCCTGCATTCCACATTTTCATTTGTCACTTTTGTCACAATTAATAGATATATATATTTTTTTTAATTATTTTTTTGGGCCTTTTATGGCTTTATTGACAGTGCAGTAGAGAGAGGAAATGGGGAGGCAGAGAGAGAAGGGATGACGTGCAGCAAGGGGCTGCCCGATGCGGGACTCGAACTGGGGCCTTAGCAGCGAGGACCTCTGCACATGGGGCGGATGCTAAACCAACTGAGCTATTCGACGCCCCTAATCGACATTTTAATGGAACACACAACTGTTGATACTTCGAAAAGTCAGTGCCCCTTGTGTCGATCAATTGATTCTTTGATGTCTAACTTTGGGGGAGATAATACAGCCTCACTGTTCTTGGGCAGAGCAATAACATATGTGACATCTAAGCCTTTCATTTAGTCAAAATTGCTTGTCCATGAATGAACTGTATGTTTATGAATGTTGTGATTATTATTTATCAGTAACGTGAACTTCGTGTACAGCTGCTGTTGGACTAACACTTGCAGTTTACCTTCACTTACCACCGCAGTTTATTGATTTTTGCTGCTGCTTGTGTCACGGAGTTCATAAGTTGGTGATCTCAGTTACCTTTACAAGATGTCTTGCTGTCATTGTTGAAGGTGCACTGAATTTAATTTATTGTTACAAACTTACCTGTTTCAATGTTATGTTATTTACTGTTTTATTGTGATGTATTAATTACCATGGAGATTTCTTATTTTATTTTGCGTACTTGAACGCCATACTGACTAACCCATGCAGACTTCACGCCGGAAACACTCCGTGTTTCGTCACAGTCTAACTCTGAACTCGTGGTAGGTTGGTTTACACTAAGCTCCGCCAAAATACTTTATTTTTTATGGGTAAAAGTGTGTTTTATTTGTCATATATGTGGAGATAAGCTCCTGACAACACTAACTAATATTCCGTGATGATGGTGGGTGGTTGAAATATATGGGGAGCAAGTTGCTCTACAGGTTAATGTGTAGATAACTTTGTTAGCTTTGCTAGTCGTTAGCTCGTGGCTAATCCTGGCGGTGTCGCTATTTGACTGGCAGCAAGCCTCATGTGTTTTGTTTCATTTTATTTTAGTGTATGCTGAGCTGCATCGTTAATGAGAGCTGGCTATGGATGCTGATTTTTATGTGTTTATTCACCAGTGCCAAAATAAATTGGGGTCCAAGCCGAACAGTAACTGAGAGTGGGTCATTATTTAATCTACACAAAGCAAGAGTACTAACCCGCTACACTTGCGGACTTCATGTTGGTTTACTCTGTGTCCATGAAAATGTGAGTACTTGTGTTGTGTAACTGTGTCGTTTAATAAAACAGCATGTTATGTAATCTGATTCCATCCTGTATGGGAGGGAAGGGCTGGCATGGGAAAATAGCAGGAAATTAACAACCGCCGTCAAGCCCCACCGCCAGAACAGTAATGGCCGTCAGGACGTGTGGTGTGCTGATAAGCCCCGAAAACCATTGCAGCCGGATCTCTCGGCCCAGACCCGGCCTAGTCATTGCCAGAAAAATTTTAATAATAGCATAAGAAAAGTAAACTGGAGAACAAACAAACGCAGAAACAGTTTTGGAAATCGGACGAACAGGAAACGGGCGCACATCTGTCGACTTTAATGGACTGAGCACATACGGGCATTCGGCCGAAAGGCGCCAACTTTGCTTTAAATATAAAACAAAAGCAGGATGGTGGCAAAAAATAGGCAAAAACTAACATTTGCATATCACAAACTGAATATCAGTGAAAGGGAAACCATGATTGTACTTTATATTCTGAGCATACATTTTATAGTAATTACTGTAAAAGTTATTTTTGTGCCTCATTCCTGAATGCACAGTGGGACTTTTTGTGGACAACAAATACATTTTGCAAACACAAATTATATTTTGAAGAAAAAATATTTTTGAGCAAATGATACCGTAACCTGAGCAAACTAAAATCTATTCTGTGCTCAAATCTATTTCTCAGTTTGCTATTATCCACAATATCAATGTGTCACTCAGTTTTAGTCAATTCTATGAGAAGCTGCTAGGCTAAAACTGAATACTTCACTTTCACATACAAATATACCGGTATTAAGCACTTGCACATACATGCATACTATCAGTTATATACTGTACATACATGTATACATACAGTTATGCATGAGTAGTACAGTAGCTTAAATAAGCCACTGGGTTTCGCCATTGCAATGTTTATTCCCAGGTGAATCCCGGTTTTGGTGTTGTTTGACCGCTGTGGGACATGGTAGTTTTGAGGTTCTGTGCGGGACGCCATTTTGGTTTATTGTTTTCTTCTCTCATGTAAGCAGTGTTAACAGCAGCCTGCATCATCTTACAATAGCTTTATTTAAATCACACTCTCAGTCTTTCTGTTTTCTGTTAAACTATCTGTACACATGTTAGTTAACAGGTTGCCATGGGTTTGAGACGTGAGCAGTTATATTTCCTTCTTCGTAATGTTGGCTAGCCAGCAAGCTTTCTGTGCATCACAGCAGCACTTCAGTGGAAACTGTGGGATGTTTGATCTGATTGGTTACACATACACATGCTATTCATCTGCTAGTTACTTTAACTTAGCAGTCAGTTATGGCTTCTCTCTCTCTCTCTCTCTCTGTGTTTTTGAAATTTCAGTGTAGAGGATTGTGATGTCAGCTGTCAGGGAGGGGGAGTAAGCTCCTAGCCGCCATGCATACTGGTAAAACGGATCAGTGACATCTTATCTCCGGGTTTGTGCTCCTATAGAAGTGTCAAAACCTGCGATCGGTTAATATGTGTTTTTAAAAACTAATTTTGGGGTAACTGTGGTGTTTTACATCAAGTCTGGACTGGACAGGTGTGTTTACAGTGCTGCGCGCTGCAAGACGTTTTAGCAGGAAAGGGGTGAAAATTACCTGGGTGTTGTGTTAATATCAATGCCGATCGGAGCCGGAGCTGCATCTACTGCTTTTTTATTTAATACATTTACCATTATGTGTTTTCATAGGCACACCAGAATCCACCTCAGGCTAGAACCACACTGAGGTCCCTAACATCCAGCAAGAATTGGTAAGTCATGCATATGACTACACCCCCATACGTATATGGACTCAAATTAGGGTTATAATGATTTTGAACTTGTAAAGTGATGTTCACAAATCCAATATTTCTAGTTGTAAATCAACCTTTGTAAACCTGTAAAATCAGTCTGTTAGAAATTAAAGTTTCTACATGTGGAAAAAAATGTGCTTGTGTCAAAGAGATTTGTATTCATTAAAAAGACTATGTGAATCAAAACTATGAACAAAGAATCAGTGTTGAGGCTGCACAGACATAAAAAAAGAAGACATGGTTTTGTCAACATCTGTGTACTAATACAGAACAGAAAACTGTAAAACTCTGCACTCAAAAGTTTCCCCAGTGTGTGCCACTGACATTACATGGGTAAAAATTTGAAATTTGTCAGAGTGCTGAGTTTTAGCGCCTTTAAAGCCATTTCTTTTTCTTTGTGTAACCTCACCACTGGTCATCTCTTTACCGAAAGCACAATTTTTTCACACTCACAATCTTGAATTTTTCATGCAGATTTATTTTACAGGTTTACAACTACAAACTTTGGAATTTTTTGTAAACGTTAAAAGCTGCGTGCTCTTACTTTGAAAAGCAAAAAAGGTGCATGTAAATCACAATTTTACAATAATAAGAAAAGAAATATTATAATTTGAGATTTAGATAGACACTCCAATAGTGAGGGGCATGCAGCTAACAAAATGTCATAGGAATGTGATTGATAGCTCAGACTGAGATTAATTTAATACAAATGTCCAGCCAGACCAGATCATTATCCATCAACAGATGAACATATGGTCTGTGTGTGTGTGTGCGTGTATGCATACATGGATAATTTGTGTAAAAAATTGTGGGATAGAGATTCAGACACACACAAAGTCACATACAAATCCAAGGACAGATCTTTAATTTACTTGTGAAACCAATTAAATAGTTTAAATGGAGGAGAAACTGTAAAACCCTCTGTAGTACAGCATACAGCTATCATTCTTTTTAAACCACGTTTTTTAGTTTTTTATTTTCTTTATCTGGATTAGTCTCTCTCCATCCACTGCTATATTGTGCAAACAAACCAAGAGAGTTAGCTCACCAATGAGCCTGCATGGGGTTCAGAGGCTACTTTTGGACCACAAATATTTTCATCACTCTGTAGTCAAAAGTCAAACAATCTACACCGTTGACAAAGACAAATCCAACAAATGTACACACACAGAACAGAAAGAGTCCACTCATTCTCCACAATTGTAACAGGAAATGCTTTTTTATCTGTCATTACAACACGATACTGGCTATGTATGTTTTAGTCTATCCGTTTCATATCCATGTGGCAGAAGTTATGTGTTGTGAGGACAACATCAACATTAAAGAAATTATGAGGGCGTAACAATACAGAGAGGGGACTTCAATTATGCAACAAACGTCACAAAATACATCCATCTCAGTCAGACTTAGCCCAACTCCTCTGTGATCAAAACAGTGTTTCACAAAGAAACAACATTTTGACTGTGTCAAGGGAAACTGACAGTAGTGCTGTAACCATGTCTCCACTGTTTTAAGAAAGCTGGGGACACTCTTGCTGTCTTATTCTTCTAGTCAGCCTGCTGGTTAGTTCATTGTGACAGAACTGGCTGAAAGATTAAATGTAAATCTCATCCAGATCAGTCTACGACCGGTGCTACTGTATTGCTATAATGCATACTGCATAATTGTGCTTGGACAGTACTGCATACTGTTTGGACGAAGCATGTGGAGACAGCTCAACAAGGAGATGCTACAATGACAGACTAGGGTAGCTTGAAGTGTCAATTTCGTTGACATTTCTATCATTGTCATGGTATGGGAAACTAAAGGTAATATGTTTTCTGACAAATACAGAGAAAGAAGCTCATGGAGAATACTTTGTGGTGATGAAGGTGACGGTAACTCAACAAGGAAGCACACCTTTGAGGGAATCCTCAGTTCGTAGCTAATGTTAAAAAGAAAGAGGTCAGATCACTCCATGGTCACCTACACCTGTGCAATTCAAAAGGCAAAAACTCAGGCCAACAGCCCTAGTCCTGATCTCAAACTTCCTCTCATCTACCTCAGTCTCTACAGAGATCTGAGCTACGTAACAGACAGAACCACGTCACCAGAGTCTGCTGTAAAAATAAATAAAAATAAAAGGAGGTATAAAATAGTCTTTATGCACATGATTTGCAAAACAAAACTTGTATAAAAAAACACAGGCATTCCAAGAAAGACTAGTGGCATTAGAAAGGTAGTTGAAATCCACCCATCACCACCACAAGAAACAATTTCCTTGTAATGAAATGCTTACCTTCACTAGTCTGTTTGCAATTTCAAACCCAATGTACTCTCACACCCCTATGTAAAAATGGCATATACTGTATAGTTTTTGATTATTATACTGACAAAATCTAACATCTTAAATGTATAGTAAGGTTAGGCAAGTTTTAAACCTGCTCACTAGACCAGTAAGAAGATTTGCAATGAGGAAATTCTGTTTTGTTTTTGGTTGCATTGGTTTTCCTTTTTTGAAGTGAACAGAATTGGCCATAAATGTGCCAAGGTGTCTGTGATCACTGAAGTCTTCACCACACGCAGTAAAACACATCTTGATTTCCATCCTGAAAAATGACCAACAAACACAGAAATAACACATTCCAGTAATAAATATCTCAGAAACTTGTCACAAATCAATATGTAAATAAATAATCAATAAATTATAAATAAATACTGGTGGGAATAAGGGAAGAGATTCCCCTGATTTGTCACTCTGGCATTTGAGCCTCGGTCCAGTCTTTTCTTGGACAGGATGTCACTTCCAGAGAAGATGAGAGCGCCCTGCTCTTCTTCTGCGACCGAGGTAACCAAGAGGCCTGCCAGGGGCCGGGCCATGTAGGGGTTGGGGGGTTGGGGGTCACAGAGTCCACTAGGCACCAGGTTGGACTGTGAGGTTGGGGGGGGGACCCCCTTCCAGAGTGTCTCTGTCTCTGCATGACTCCTACCAGACCCAGGCCAGGGCCTGGGCTGGAGCAGCCAGGTTAGGTGCCGGGGGGATGGGCTTGTTGGACCAGACAGTTACAAGGGTCGCAGGGGGAGAGAAGGCTACTGCTGCGGGACAGGACTGCGTGGTGATCCTGGAGGTCTGCCACAAATTTAGGACTGTGAAAATACAGAGACAAAGGAGAGAAGAATAAATAAGACTGAGTGAAAAAATGTATTTTCAGGGCTGTAGGAGAGGGGAAACAATGGTTGGAAGAACAAGGTTACACCAAATAAATAAAAAAAGCAACATATAACAAAGGCCAAAAGACTGGTGTGGTTTGCTTAAAGGAAAAGTTTGAAATTTTGGGAAAAAACTATTTGCTTTAATGCTAAGATTTAGATGAGAAGATTGATACCACTCATGCCTGTATATAGTAAATATGCTGCCACCAGCAGCCAGTTAGCTTAGCTCAGCTCAAGGGCTATCCAAACATAGCTTCCAAAAAGTCAAAGTATACCTTTCAAACCACCCCAGATACAAGGGAAGGGCTGCTCATACTTCAGGACAAAGTATTTGGTGAGTACATCTACAGAACAAAACAGGGTTAGAGAGAAAGGCTAACCAGCACAAAACTTGAACCAAACGGCCTCAGATCTGTCAGCAGTGTCCTAGTTGCCTTGTGTGAATGTCTCTAACTTATGACATGCCTGTTGGTAAACTCAAAACATTAGCCAAACATTAGCCCACTAGCCGAATGTTAGTGAATGAATGCGATGCTTAAGCTAATGTAGCTCCCTCACGGTGGACAGCTTGTCAAACACAGGTGTAACTAATGATGCTAATTACAGCTACTGGCTAACTTGCATGTGTGCTTTCCTGCTATGGAAATTCAATGTCTGATGAGCATTGAGGGAAGTCATACTCAGATATTTATTTACGTAACAGCAATACCACAGTGTAAATTTATTCCATTACAAGTAAGAATCCTGCATTCAAAATTTTACTTCAGTAAAAATATGTTAGTATTTGCATCAAAATATCCTTCAAGTACCAAAAGTATTCATTATACAGAGTGGCCCCATTTAGAATAATATTATATTACTGGATTATAATTATTGGTGTATTAATGTGTACGTCACTTTAATGCTGCAGCTGGTAATGATGTCACGAATTTTAATTTCTTTAAATACTGCTGGGTAGCTTAATCTGTAATAATATATGATTATTTGTTGATTATATGCTGTATGAATAGAATCTGCAACATAACTAGTAACCAAAAGATTGCTTTAAAATTGTACTTAAGTACAGTACAGTAGTAAATGTACTTAGTTACTTTCCACCCCTGCTACTGAGTCTACTAAAAAGTCTATAAAGGGAAAACTATAGCACTCATCCTAAATTCACATTGACCTTTGACACTAAATCTTAACTTAAGTGTTTACTTTAATATCACGATTTTGACTTGAAAGTATGAATATGAGTGTTGACATTAAGTAGATTAATAGCACATATATAAAACTGCCATGCAAAACTATACATGCAAAGTGAAGAAAAATTCTACCAATCCCTCGCCCATTGAGAAGTGTTTATTATTTATGCAATAGAAGGGTTTCAGCCATAACTTAGCTTTTACAAATGCAGATGTGCTACTTTAAAAAGATGTGAAAAAGTCTACATTAAAGAGTGATGAGCGATAGGCTACAACTACTTAGTTGTACAACTAGATGGATGGATGGATGGATAGATAGATAGATAGATAGAAGTTGGTGATCCTACTACTAGCAGGTTCTACAGCTTGTTACCTGCGGGCTAGGGAGGCTCTCCCTCGCCTTAGTTGTGGGGAGAGTGACGGTACTGAGGCAGCAGGCTGCTGACAATCTACAAGAAACTGATAAATTAGACAGATATACAGACTGGTGACACTCAGGGTTAGACAATAGAACAGAGTAACAGGGAGGACAAAACAGGGGAAGGCTTTGTCAGAGACAAAGAGACTGACTGGTTGGCCAATATAGCTGGTTTACATAATGTAGAAGTAACAATATGATCCTCATCCGTATACACTTGCTCTCATGGCACAGCTAAGTCATAGGGGTGTTTATAATTTTTCATAATATCTGAGATAATCTTACTTTTGTGTTTTTGCTTGGTTAAGTTTCTCTAGAACAAGAAACATAGAGTTTTACATTTTAGAGCCATATCAGAAAAGAAAGAACAAGAAGAGCAATACAGGAAAAAGATCATATGATGGAAATATGAGGGAAATACTTGAAGCCAGACTGAGTATAACCTGACTGCTTCTACAACATGTCACTTGTGTGAATGGAATTAATAATGTAGTAATAATGTAAACCAGTCTCATCTGACCACGCTGACAGGATCAGTCTCTGCACAGCTACACAATCAGCACTGGGGGTGGACAACACATAGCACCCTAAGAGTCAGAAACATGGACACATTTACACACACATACACACACACAGACACACATGTAAATCCATTATTGTATTAATTTGTAAAGCACAAAAGGGGGAGGACAAATACTTGGGATTATCGTTGAACAATCCAATCCCGCTCAACTCCATAACACCTGCTACTCATTTCAATTATATGTTCAAACTTCACACAAGTCAAGCTTGTCAGTTCCACTTAAGAGTTGTTTTCAATACTTTACCTACTTAGAGAACACATGTATGATGTCTGTTAAATGTTTAATTTGTTTTACTAATGATATGATTATCTGAGGTGGGATAAGGGAGGAAGAAAGTCCAACAGCATTTGGCAGGAAAGAGAATGAAAATGTGTTCAGACACTGCCATCCGGTGGTAAGAATTGGCGACAATGTAAGAGCAGTTTGTCAGGGAATTGGTCATCAGCGTAGGTATATAGGGATTTAGTCTGTCCCATTTGCTTTTCTTTTTATACCAAATGCGGGGTAGGAGGAGATGAGAATAGATGAACAATCAAAGAGGAGGCTGAGGCACAGAGAGGAGGTCTGACTGGTTTCTATACTACTCTAAACAACACATTAACCATTTAATACACTCTAAGCCTGTCAGATGCTTTTTAACAGACCTTTACATGTGACAAAATAAGGCATGCAAAGATAAACTGCAGGAAATATCATTTTACAACACATAATTGAGAAAAGGCTTAATGTAATAGGTTAAACATTTTAATAAAAAAAACTTTCTAACATGTAATTTACTGAATCTGCCACAAGGAGGTGCTCTGAGTCATTGTATATGGACAGAGATGCTGCAGCCATTTTTTACTACTTGGTTTTCACTTTGAAACACTTCCCAGTACTGTAGGAGAGTGATACATGATGTAATACGTTATGGTAGCTGGTAAAAATATCGAATTCATAATGGTGTTCATTATTAAATTCTATGCTGACCAACTGTCAGTCAACCTTTACAACAGCAAATGTTTGTGAGGATGGTCATTGCTGTCATGGACTCCTTCCTCCTGAGTGTTGCTGCATGTTCAAACCATAGACATGTTATACCAGTCTTTCCTCCTCTCTGTATCCCACCTAATTCCAAGGCTTCTGGGAACTGGGTACACAGTGGATATTAGTGTACAGATGATGATGAATCATCGCTTTCGACGAAGGTGAGGAGATATTGAGGCGGGGCTGTTGATGCTGAGCTTGTGTGATGGGGACAGTTGACCTATGTTTTGTCTCGCGTAAATGAGTCGTTTGCACTCTAAGCTTAGCCACTCAGTGTCTATCATGATGGGCTGGCTGTCCAGAGACAAACTGGAGTAACTCAAGTCAGGCAAAGTTGAAGCTGAGGTCTGGATTGTTTCAGAGAGTGTGTCTGGAATCCACGCAGACATGGACGGACAGGTGGTTATCTCTACAGAGGGAGCACTACCGAGGGTCAGGGAGGTGTTCAGGGTGGGGGTGGTGATGATGGAGTGGCTGTGGAGCCTGTTAGGGCTGGGTGGAGCCGTGAAGGCGCCTCTGCGACTTACTTTGGGCGGGCTGCTTTTTATCTTGGGCACTTTAGCGCCACGGCCACGGTGGGTCTGCTCATTGTCAAACTCCAGATCCTCTAGGCGTTGGGTCAAGGCCAGTTTCTGCTGGATAGCCATACGGAGGAGAGAGTTCAATGTCTTCTTCTCATCCTCTGCTGCCGCCAGCTGCCTCTGCATCTCATCCAGCTGGGTGACATACTCATCACACCTAGGTAGAGAGAGGTAAAAGGACAGATATCTGGTATCACACAATTTATTATTCACATTAACACGTTCCCTATGCCTTTTTTCACACTAACATTCCTTTACATTTATACTTCTGCATCTTTTAATGCTTCATTTTTTCAAAACCCCTCTCACCTTGTGGCAAACATGGCCCTAAGAGACGAAAAGGTGGCAGCATCTTCTTTCAGAGCTTTAAGCTCGTTCCTCAGTTTCATCATGGTCTCTGTCACCATCGCCTTTTCATTCTCGTACTTGCTCTTCAAGTTAGCCAGCGCAACCTCTGCTGTCTGCAAAGGAGGACATTTGAATTTAACTCTTCACTTTCCATGGAAATCGCATGCTATGACTATTTTTTCACTATGTATTAAGAGCAAAGAAAAACCTTCACCTGTTTATTGGCCTTGAGCACCAGCCTGAGTGTGGCTATCTGCTCTCTCTTGGTGCTGAGCAGGGACTTGAGCTTGAGTAGTTCCTCCATGCATGACTCCTTGTCCTTGTCAAGCATCGGCGCCAGCTCCCTGGCTGCAGCCCTCTGCCTTGACAGCTGCAGTGAGCGGTCAACAGCCCTCTGGAGGTGTTTGATCTGGTCTCTGATGATAGCATTCAAGTTGTAGATATTCATGGGCTCCTTCCGCAGGTCCCCACCTGCCTCTGAGGGCAGTGGAGACGGGCAAGGAGAGATGCTGATGACTGGGGAGCCGGTGGCGTTGCGGGTGGGGCTGCTATGGCAGGATGAAGAGTCCGCTGTGTTGGTATTTGTCTCATTGTGATGGGCATCTTTGGATGGGGAGTCCATGGGACTGCGTGGGGACTCAGAGGAGCAAGCTGCAGATGCTGCAGCGAGGCGTCGTGCCAAGCGAGGCGAGAGCAAAGCCCGAGGATCATCTGAGCCTTTCAGGCTGCCGCTGCGTGTGACGCGGCTCTGCCGGTAGTAGTCCAGCATGACGCGGTTGGGTGTCTCGTTGTTGCACAGACAGACGTGGTGGTACAGCTGTGCCAGTTCTTCACTGAAGGTTACCAGCTCGTCTTGTGCTGTGTTCAGCATGCCTTGGCTCTCTGTGGCTGTGCTTGAGGCCACTCGGAGCTCTGCCTCCAGGCTTACCACCCTCTCCCGGCCCTCACGACAGCTGCGTTCCAAATGAGTTACCTGTTTGGAAGAAGTCATTTGGACAGTTGGGATGTTATAGGATGCAGAACTGAACAATAAAAACATTTGCTACACATTGCTACACGTGACATTGACAAACCTGTTCATTCAGTGCCTGGACTTTGTCGTCACTGTGGCTATCTCCCTGCCCCTCCACAGCCTGGTTATACTTCTCCTTCAGGGCCTTCAGCTCTGCTTTCAGGTCAATCACCTCTGTCACCGCCACCTTGTACTTACACTCCAGGATCTCAAACCCGTGGATATCGGGATCATGGTGACCATTGGCTGGCGGTGATACAGAGCCACCGTCAGGCTTCTCACTCTCTTGTGGGTCATCAAGCTCTTTGTCTCCATTGAGGCGTTTCATGGCATTGACACGTTCAGTGAGGCGATGGACCCGCTCATTCTGCTCGGTCAGGGCGCCCTGTGTGTGCTGCAGTTGGGTCTGTGACTCCTGCAGGTTCATGAGCAGCGCTGCCTTCTCCCGCTCCACCTGTAGGATGGGAGGACACACACCATAATGAGTTAGTGTTTCATGATGTTCAACAACAATGATCAACAACAACGAGAGCCTTTATTTTTTTTATTATTTACACATTATATCATCATATGTTATGTCGTTCAATCACAATATTCAGTGTAACTACATTTATGTGTTCAATATAAATGAACTTGCAAACTTTTCTCAATAAAAAAATGAAGATCAAAATAGCAGGCTGCCAATAAAAGCTATAGCAGGACTCCTGCCTAAACTTTGTGACATCAAGGGGATAATAAATACAAAAACAATACACCATGAAACCATCATTACTAGGCTGCAAGTGAACAAACACAGGTGAATCATGGACAATGTATCATATCAGTACTGACTTGCCCAAAGGCGTGCAATGACATATGGTTGCTGTTTAATTGCTTCTTGACTGTGCGTCACCAGCTGCTTTGAAAGGGTGACACTTTACTGATCCAACATCCCTGAACAGTGTCTATAGTGAGAGAGACAAAAACTGATTTTGCGAAAATTCAGCTAGCAATCACAAGCCCGATGCTGCTGCCATTTATATCCTTCCCATAATAATCAACTGGAAAGTGAAAATTGATTAGGGAGTAATTGTGTTTACAGAGAAGGGCACACTGCTAATATAGCAGCCACAAATCTAATTTTCTATCTCCCAATGGGGCTCAGCTAGGGACAAAAGTACAGTAATGACTTAATTAGATTTTAGCATGAATCTGATTTACCTTTGATTTCTATATCGTTTAACATACTTTGCATATCCCCCTGTATGGTATGCCTGTTTATGAATGTTTGATGCACTCATGTGACTCAGTGCATTAGTGAGAGTAAGAGAAAGACAGTTCTTACACTGTATTATATAATCATTATATTTATAGTCTTTGTTTATATGGAAGTAGCTTATCACAGTGCAAGCTTAGAAGTAATTGTGGTATAATTGTAAGTGTACAGTGGAAAAAAACTTATATGACATTTTCCCTCCCTGGTAGGGTCTCTATTTCTGTTCCCCTGTCTCTAAACTGAAAGCAGAGGTAGTCAGTTTCTGTCTCCGTCTTGCAGCTGGATCTGCTCCTCCTGCTTATTGGACGCTAATCACCTTGACAGGGCTCCCTATGGCACACGCATATGTACACGCAGCAACTCTACTGGACTCCATGTTGTGCTTCTGCTATGGCTTGGCTGTAGTTTTCATTACTCCCACCTTTGCAAATTTAAAAAGTTTACTTGACACTTGACACATGATACATGATATAAGATAAATGCTGCATCAAATGCACATGTACAAATATTTCTGCTATATCTTAATGGTGGGTCACTGGCAAAAGTCATTATTATGGCATTCAGTAAAGTAACCTGTGGTATTTTTCCTGTGTTTCTTTTGTTCATCAACTTGTCATTTCCTTGCTTTTACCATCGGCACACTGTGAACAGGACTGCGTTCATTGTTGGAGCAATGAACACTTACAAATGTGCTGTAGGAAAGTGGATCAGAATAGACATTTGCTTATGTGAGGTGTGTCTGGCTCCATCCCTCTGCAGTAAATTTAATAGAGGGAGTGTCGATGGGAGATAGCAGCTCTACCCACAACCAAAGTGACAAGTGGCGTCACAACTGTCCATGAGAATGAACATTAAATGACACAAAAGGTCTGAACAAAAAATATGTGGGAATAAAACTGGGTTTTTTTATGGGTAATTTCATTTATAGCCCTGCTTTAAGGCCCTTTACTATGACCCACCTGTAGCAGCTGCTGTTTGAGCTTCTGCATCTCTGACAGGTTGAGTTCACTGAACAGATCTGGCACAGGGTGCAGGGCTTCTCCTTTTCGGCCTGGGCGGTACTCCCCATTCATCTTAGCCAGCCCTGTGCCTGTGTGGAGGTGACCGTTGCGCCGGTTGCTGTCCTCATTATTGCCATTAGCAGTAGGGATGGCGCTGCCATTGGTGCCGTTGGTTCCGTTTGTCTCCTCTGGGAACTTGAGGCCCTCAACGCCAGTGACAGTGAGTGCCAGATGGGCCCCTGCTCCATAGACGCTGTCACTCAGGCTGATATGGTGGGCCAGTTCCTTTCTTAGGTTGTTCTTCTGCTCTCGCTCACTCTTGAGGGCATCCAGGGCTTCTTCTAACTGACCCTCAGAGATTTCCTTTAGACGTAAAGCGTCTTCAAGCTGGCTGTTGAGAAGAACAGTCTCCTCCTCTAGCACCTTGATTTCATGTTTTAGTCCCTCATACTCCACCTGGGGGGAAACAGAAAGGACAGGAAAAGAAAGGAGTAGAAAACAATTAATTGAATTACTTAATTTATTATCATTTTAATATAGTCCCCTTTAGGCTTCCATATAGAAGCTTTTATGCAATACTTAATCTAAAATTTGTGCTTGATGATGTGGTCAAAAAAAAAATCAATAGTAATCTGGATTTGGTTACAAAGCAGGTAAAGGCATTTTCTTTTTTACATTCAGTTCAAAAAACTGGAGCTTACTGTGACATAAGCCTTCCAGTAAGACCAGCAGAATTACATCACAATAGTGATTTTATGATGATATATGGCCTTAATCTACTCCAGCACAGAACAGGCATTTTGTTACTGTAAACAGTACAGACGCTGTATGAGTCTGTGTAATTGGATAGGGGATAACGTAACCCCTTACAGAAAATAAAGGACGATGACCAACTAGATGAGAGCACTGTTTGATCCAGTGCATCACAGAACTGTTAACTAAAATGCTGAGGGTTCTTCATACTGACCTGGCTCTGCTTGAGTGTAGAGACCAGTTTCTGCAGCGTGATGTTCTCCTCCTCCAGCTCTGTGTAATCCTGAAGAAGCCTGGTCTCCCTGAACTTGTACTCCTTGATCTCCTCCCTCATCCTGCTCCTCTGTAGCTCCAGCATCTCGTTACTCTGGAGCCCAGAAAAGAGGGATGGAGAGAGAAAAGCAGGGGCAGAAAGATGGGTACAATGAGGACAAAGGAGTGAGGAGAGGGAGAAAAGGAGGAGAAAAAGAGCATGAGGATAAGAAAGTTTATGAAACATTTTCATTATCTTAAATGCAATGAGTCAGCACCCTCACACCTAGAAAGATCATTCTTTTTAGTCATCTGCTTTGCACAGACAGAAACATAAGCGTATATGCTGGACCAGATAAAGTGTCGCTGGGAGAGATGCACAGACACAAAAGTCATAAATCTACATACAGTAGGCGGCAGCCCTGGGAATATATTGAGACCTCAGCAAAATCATCTGAGCTCACATTATTACTAATGTTACCTGAAGGAACTCCTCTGTTAGCTTAAAAGCCCAGACACAGTCAACTTTTACTAGCTTGTAAGGTCCACTTATTGATAGGGGTGGTATAATAGGGTTGTGTACAGTACAATGCAACTACTGGGCTTATATAGATGGCTTATATGAAGTATAGAATAGCTAATAATGAAAGTCTGTGCGCATGTGGGTACTTCCCTCACTGCAGAGCTCCCTGCTGCTCCCTGTACATATGGCAGAAGTGCTGACCCAGAGCCAGTGTCAGGAGTGGGTACACACTCAGGAGGTAGACGCTCATAGAGCACAGACACATACGGCCTCCAGGATCTCTATATTCCTGTGTGTGTTTAGGGGTGGATGGCAATTTTAAAACTGGCAAATGGACTGAAACTAACGACCGTTATGATACACTGAATCTTTTGATTTGTACAGTGGCTGACAGCAGCTCCTGTATTCATGAAGCTAATGGAGGCTAAACTGCAAAGTTCATAGAAGTACAGCAGGGCTGCTTCATCGGCTGCACTGAAAAATACTTTTACTCTGATCCAGGATAAGGAGACAGAAACCAAACATGACAATTTAAGAAAAAACTGAATCATACAATAACATGTTCCAATTACATCCAATTACATATTCACGCTAATGTGGGGAATTAACACCGAGTTGTGTGTGAAGTGCACAGGATTAGAGGCCAATTATCAGTCAGTGAGGCTCCATAGAAGCGTAGCTGATTAGGGGCTACAGAGGCCGGGGTCAGGGACAGTGCAGCACACAACACTGGCACTGGGCCTGCCACGGGCCAGAGTTGGGCAAACCCACCCCCTGACCTGGAGTTCACAGCACTGACTGTGACTGTGACAGCTCAGAGAGATTCATGATACACTGGCAGAAGTCCAGCCATGTTGTATTCATTCATCATCACACCAGCGCCGTGGCCATGGTGATGCGGAATAAAGACAGAATTCCCCTCATTCCTGACAGGATCCTGGACAAATATACAGTAAGGTGATCACACATATATATGTCCATCAGTTATTGTAACTTCTGATGTTCTGATGTACACCTGCTGACTACAAACAGCAGAAGCAAACTTTTCCTGCTTGAGTGAAACTTTCCCCAGATATTTTTTTCTGGATGAATCTGCATATGCTAATAATGTTTCTGAAGGGTTGTTTGGAACTTGCAAAAATCTTTTGATTAGACATGATTTGTGACGAATGATGCCCCCAGTGTGGTTGCCAACACCTGCTTCTCATGATGAAAAAGGCGGTGACTCCTCATTAACAGGCATCACACATGCTAATGAGGATTTCAAAGACAGGCAGAAGGCATTTGATGAACACATCTTCAAAGAGCCACGATCACGACGCAAACAGGTGACAGGTGCACCATCAATATGTCGACCAGGCTTATCAGGGAATTAGTTTCCAAATTGAAAATATTGATTTTGTCCAATATGCTTCAAAATCTTGGGATTTCAGACTATAACACAGCAACAAGGGAACCTCACAACACTCCCTGATGAATTTAGTGAATGGGGAGTGTGTGTCCCGTGGGTGGAGTGTTGGTTGTTGTGTGATGAGAGCAGCCTGGCTCACTCTGTCCCTACACATGTGCCGAGCTCAGGGCATTTCACTTATTCCCCAGCTTAGCACCGGATTTGCCCCCCACAATGGGGTCGTGGCCGCTGTGTCTGACCCCGGCTCGAACTTCTGCACTGCCCGACACAGTGGCTGCAGACGTGTCGTGCATGCATGCATAAACACATGCTTGCACGTACGCACATGTAAACTGTTTTCTCTGTGTGAGGTTTGACCTTGCTCTGCCTGTCGCTGTGACCTTTGGCCTTTATCAGACACATGGGTGTCATGTAGGTTAATGTGCAGCAAATAAGACATTGTTCTTCACAAAGTTAATACAACCATGGACTAAGCTGCAGATTTTTTTTTTGTGGTACAAGAGGTGACCGCACCTTTCAAAATAAATGACATTTTCTTAGTCACCAAACCACCAAACCTCTAACTCTACCACAGAATAAAAGCAGATGTCAGTTACTACATTTGTGCAGTGCTATACTGAAACAATACTGATGCACATTCAAAATAAATATTCTCTAAATAAATAGATAAATAATAAATGCTACCAATCACAGCTGTCCTGTTTTAGAAGCTCACCTCTCTTAGCTCCTGCACGAGTGCGTTGAGCCTTTCATTTTCCGCCTGGGCATTGGACGCCACAGAGCGGCTTAGCGTCACCTCCGTCTGCAGCTCCAACAGACGGCCCGTGTAGTAGGCCTCCTTAGAGGCCGATTCCTGCAACAGCGTCTCCTCATTTGTCTCCCCATCCTCTGCCACCTTACGCTGGTTCGTGTAGGCCTGGCCAAAGGCCTGGGGAGGAATAAGAGGAGGAATGGTTAGAAGATGTGGGCATATAAGATCCTGTCATATAACATCATGAGAGGAGTTGCATCCACTGGCACGTAGAGTAAATCGAGTACATCTTTCACAGTTGACCACTAGGTGTACTCCTGCTTTTCTTTTGACCACCCACGGCACCAACAGCACATTAGGCACAGAGGCTGTCCCTCAAGGATACCTGCTTTGTGTGTATGGGATGGTGTTTCACTGTGATCAATAGACACACTGTTCCCATTTTCCTGACACAGGTTTTCACGGCACTGAGCGCTGACTTGTCATGATAAAGGACCCGAGGCCTGATTGAGAAAATCAAAGCAGGCATCAACAGCAAAACAGGCCTACCACACTGGAGCTACTGTACTAGACAGTAACAAATGCACAAAAACTCAGTGGACCACAATAGTTTTGCTAAACAGTTACTTCATGCAAAGTTGAGAACATACATTTATATTGTATGAACCTGCACCATCTTCCTGACAAGGTTGCCTGAACACAGACACAAATTCATAGGTTGTAACTGTTCCTTGACATCCATGCGGCTGCAGCCTTAGTGGTTCAATAAATACTATGAACCATCCTTCACTTTCTCAGCAGATCAGCAGGAAAAAGATGCGGGTATGGTGCCTGAGGTGGCCCCTGTGAGAGACGATCGATCAATACTGACCCGTCTGAAAAATATTTTATGGATTGAAATTGCCACATGAAACTGTAAACAGTACAGCATGTACAGTTATTACAACCTTCAGGACACAGTTCCTGGACAGAGTTACTCCACCAAATCGACCATGCAGCCTAAATCATAGGGGAGCCATATTTTGGAATAGATGTATTAATAATTCACAGTCTTCCCAGTCCCGCTTCACCATAACAACAACGTTTTCTCTGTTTGCGATAAATCATTTATAAGCTATAAGAATCCGTTATTTGGAGAAGACATGAGCTCCAGTGTGCAGCTGCCTCCTCTTCTCACTGAATGAGTCATTTTTCATTTTTGTATTTACTGTTGATTCATGAGCTAACAGGTTAAGCAAGCAGCATGCAGAGAGCTCTTAGATAGGGGGAATTTATTACAGTCAGAAATCTACTTTAGTACAGATCTTGAAGTATATAGCTCTGGCACAGAGAGGGTGGTTTGTCTTGTGGCTGTTTAGCCACTATAAAACTATGTTATGAGGTCCAACCACTGTGTTGAACGCTAAATAAATTGGTGCGTGTGAGTGAATATGATGAGGCGATTTACCAGCCGAGAGATTTCAACGCCACCTAATTAGCTTTATTGACCCCCTCCGTCTGCCACATCTGACCTGCTGCTTCAATACTCATCACCTGCAAAATGAAATTCCACTTTCACTGTCTACACTGTTCTTTCATAAGGTTCACAGTCACAATCAAACAGCTATAATCTATGCTCATGCTTTTCCATTCTGTCGATATGAACTCACCATTTATCTACATGCATGTAAACCAGGTAACAAGTAGTATTCACTCATAAAGGCACTGATTCCTCCAGTGGACGTATTTAGTGTGATTCAACAGACTCTTTTGTTTTCCCTTTGAATTACAAATGTAACAGTTAGCATATGAATAAGAGCCAGCAATAATCAGTCCAGCAAAACGTCTGTAAATACACAGAACATTTAGCCACTCAACCACAGAAACCGTCCTCAAGGACTTGCTTTGTAATGACTAGAAAACTCTCAACTGGAAAAAAAAAAAAAAGTATTACAATTTTTTTTCTCACTTTCCCCTCTCAGTCTCTCTCTGCTTCTCTTGTATTACTCCCTCTCTTTCACACTCTTGTTCTCTCTCCTTGCGCCCTCTCTCTCGCTCTCTGGGGGGAGGCACAGTGTGATTGTGGTGAATGATTAAGTGGGAGGGCCTCTGGAACAAAACAGCTGATTAATTCCAAGCACAGTGTGACTGAATGAGTTCAAATTCTCGCTTCAAATGGGAGGCTGTCGACGTCTGAGCAGGCCCCACATAGCAACAGCTGAGCCCCGCAGGAGGGACGGTGAACGTCTGTCCTCACAGGGCACCGCTGCTGGATCTCCGGTGTCGTGAGGTTGAAGAAGAGAGAGCAGAGAGTGTGTGAACAGAGCATATGTGTTACTTTAACCGTTACTGTACTGTATGTGCTGTGACTGGTGGCCTATTCAAAACAGACAGGGCTGTTTAGGTATTGGAGTTTTTTCAGTTAATTAGTCTGAAGAATAAAAATCTATATTACATTTAGCAGAATATGCTTATCTTTTGATTGCATAATTGTTGTATGTCTCATAGCACTAGTATTACTTAGCTCACTTTTATTGGTACTCTCATATCTGTAGGTAAATATGAAGCTAGCAGGAAGCTTAGCTGCTTAGCATAAAGACTGGAAGCTGGGAATCAAATATGCTTATCTCTCAAAGTGTTGCACACCTGCCGCTGTACAAAAATAAAAATAATAAAAAAATCTTTAAAAATTTAACTTAAACTAAAAAGATTAAACTCAATTATCAGGTAATTACAAATTAAAGAATGAGTAAAGAAGACAGAGAAGTATCTGACTAAGCCCTCTGTGCCAACTTATGATACTGCAGTTTTTAATATTCCACAGTCACATTTTGTCCAAAATTTAGGATTGATACCCAGCCCTATTGATAACCAGGCCAACTGACTGAAAGTCAGGGGCAGAAAAGCCGCCGCAGTTGCAGGCAGTGATTCAGCAGCGACTCAGCCACAGAGAATCGGGTGGGTCTCGGATGCGTAATGAGAGGCAGATGCTTTTATAACAACCTTCCTTCATGGGCTGAGCCCCGCTCCTCGAAGTCCGCTCGCTCCATCTGCTTACCACTCCTCTTCAGGGAAATCACAGTGAGTGACACTGATGGCTGAGCTTCAACGTTTGCACATAAAGGAGCACAGTACGCTCCGGCCCTCCTGTTGCTCATTCACTGTACAGCTTCTGGTGGGCTAAAAATAACACTGTGGCAGCACTGCATTTTTCAGGCTAATTACTTGAACAGCACTGACAATACTGCATGCTGTTATCATTATAGTGATGGATCTGCAGTGTTCCTGTGTCTGTGTCCTAACTGGCAAACATAACATGACCAGATAACATGAGAGGAACAGCGTGGAAGATTAAAATTTAATACCATTTCCTGAGGATGATATTAATATGGAGCCACCGATTGGCAGCCTGTCTGGTTTTGTGCACTGAAAACCCCATAATGCATTCAACCTTGAGGCTCCTCAGCCTTCTGTGCCTCAGTGGATAAAGTCCAGACAATAGGGTCCCCTTCTATAGATATTCATCCCTGGGGCCATGGGAAGAGGAGCAGACAGAGGGAACAAACCAACCGCTGCACCAGTGTGTGTGTGTGGTTAACCCTGAAATCCTTCCCTGTCTGTTGCAGTCCATAATGAGGGCCCATGGGTGTGAGATCTTGTATATGTGTATGTATATACAGCAAGAGTGTATTTTTACACCCAGGAGGGAGAAAACGAGTGAACTATTTCTGCAACTAATTAATCTCCACCATACTTTCATTATTACGGTGACGTATGAGGCCTACCCACCAGCAAAAACAAGTTTATTTATAGATAGCAATACAAAGCTAGCTAAGAGTCCAGACTTGATTAAAATTTCAAGGTCAGAGAGCAAAGCTTAGAGCGAAATGCACATGATAGAAGATGGAGTTTAACTTCAAATACTGCAGAAATATTGACACAGGCAAGAGTAACAACCATCAACCATTTTTTATTTATTTATTTGTGTCCTCATGTATTCAAGTTCTAGTTAATGTGGATTTTAATTAGATGATCTGGATAATCTAATATTTGAATAATGGCCGTGGCACTTAATTAATTGTTAATCACTGCACAGTCACAGATTAATTGATGGATAATGTGACAAGGAGAAAATTAAGAAAGGTCGAGGTTTTTAAATGGTACCATGATAGATGTGGATTGAACAAACTGTGGTACGCTGTAGTAATCCATCTATGTTTCATAAACATACAAGATGAGAAATGCACTGTTTTTATTGATGGATTAGAAAAAGGAAAACCGCTCTGAATCTTGATCATGAAGTGATTTAAATATCAACCAAAACACAGCTTGCTCAAGCCAAATCTCTGCTACGGCCATGTTTTGATGAGTAATGAGGAAGTAGAAATCACGGTATTAGTCAACTCATAAGAAGCAAAATTCTTATGGCTGAAACACACACACACACACACACACACACACACACACACACACACACACACACACACACACACACACACACACACACACACACACACAGTTGAGTCCTGTCCAGATGGTCAGCCCAGCCAACCACATCAGGGATTTCAGTACCATGGAGAGAGACATGCAGGGCTGCTGTTGCTGTGAAGTCATGCAGCTGTCAGCGTCATGAAGGGAGCCCTGTGTGTGTGTGTGTGTGTGTGTTCACTTTGTTATTCACTTGCTTGATGATCACTTGTAAAGCATGCCACAGCACTGTCATGACTGTTTGAGGCCAAGCCAAATAATCCATTTGTAAGAAAAAAAAAAACATCTTCCATCAGAAGAACAAATGTTAGATGTTAGAGACATAAGTCAGAGGGTAGCGTGAGATGTATCAACCTCCAGTCACAACAAGACAACACACACGAACACATCAGTCAGCCAACAAGATTTGTTCCTGACTCACTCACTATTTTTGACGAACACACTCTTTATTTGCAGTCTGTGGAGGTAAACACAGCATGGCAGAATGAGTTCCTAATTCACAAATTGCAGTCTCTCTCTGTGATCACTCATGCTAAATTTCAAATGAATCAGTTGATGCAGTTTCCCTACTTTGGTTCGTGAATAAACTTTACATAATTCTGAAAACTCTCAATGCAGAATGTGCTATTTCTATGTTTCTAAATAACACTGTACTGCTCTGTGGTAATGGAAAGATTCACTCCTTTGTAAAGTGATCTAGAGCTTCTATT